TACCCCAAAAAAAAAAAAAAAAAAAAAAAATCCACGTGTAGGTTTTTGTGTGGACAGAGTTTTCCACTCATTTGGGTAAAGCCCAAGTAGTGTGATAGCTGGATCGTACGGTAAGAGTATGCTTAGTTTTGTAAGAAATTGACAAACTGTCTTCTTACCATTTTGCATCCCCACCACAGTAAGTGAGAGTTCTTATTGCTCTAGATTGTTGCCAGCATTTGGTGTTGTCAGTGTTCTGGATTTTCACCAATTCTGAATACGTGGTATCTCATTTTAATCTTCATTTCCCTGATGACATATGATGTGGAACATCTTTTGTATGCTTATTTGCCATCTGTATATCTTCTTTGGTGAGGTGCCTTTTAAGCTCTTTGGCACATTTTTAAAAATCAAGTTATTTTCTTATTGTTAAGGTTTAATAGTATTTTGTATATCTTGGATAATAGCCCTTTATTATATGTGTCTTTTGAAAGTGTTTTCTCCCATTCTGTGGCTTGTGTCTCATTCTCTTGACTCATTAGTTGATCACTTTCTAGCTTTCTGGCATAAAAAATATGTTCTAGGCTCTCACCTTGATCTTTCCTTGTTCCATTTCTGAAAGCAGCCTCTTCTCCAAGGGGCTCTGATTCCTTGTAAAGGGTAAAGGAGTTCAGAAATCAAAATCTGGGGGCCAGGTGTCCCATAGCAAGAGGTAGATGCAGATTTGTGGACCCTGAAGCTAATATAATTTTGGAATTGTCTGTTTTTTTTTTTAAAGAGAAATACAAAATTACAAATATAAAATTAGGTATAGGGCCTTATAAGAAGTCCATAAGTGAGGAGCCATAAAGTTTGTTTTTTGGTTCACTGGCATTGGGGTGTTACTGCTTTTAGCATCTTTCAGTGAACAGAATATTCAAATCTAGTATGACAGTGTTCATTGTAGCTTTTGCCCTTTCATATTTGTATAAACCAGAGTGAAAATCATTGGTTCCAGAGGTTATCAATATATTTACTCATTGTTCTTTCTTAATATAAGAAGTATACACAAAAATGGTTTTACAATAACAACACTGATATTACTACCAAAATTAAATCTAGCAGTAAAGTTCAAGATTGTTTTGCTGTTCTTCTTAATATGTAATATACTTTATTAAGGATATATATAGCCAGAGTCCTCTATTCAAAGCATATTTTTTTTCTGTGTGGTTATATTATCACATTAATATACAGTTAAGTTCATTTGTTTCTGCCTAAATTAAATTTTCATGTTTTTTTAATCCTCTTTAATTTTTTTGAAAATATAAAACATTTATGATTAGAAAATTTAAAAGATAAACTGAGAAAGCTCACTTTCATCCCTATAGACCCCATCCCCAGCCATCCTCTATAAGGAACCATTTTTGTTAACTTGTGGTTTAAACTCCATAATTTTTTGGAGAAAATCTGCAAGTATGTATACAAATTCTTATTTCTCTTTTTTAAAATTATAAAAAATGTAGCATATTATATACACTCTTTTGCACCTTTGCTTTTTTTTTCTTCTTTTTTTCCACCAAATCTGTCCCAGAACTCATCCCATCTCTGTTCATGGAGATCTTCATTCTTTTCAAATCTTGATAGTAGCCCATTGTGTGGATGTTCTACAGATTATCTAACCAATTTCTATAAATGGTTATTTGATTGTTTCTAATAGTTAGGTTGCTCTTTTGGAAAATTGGATAGACTACACAATACATTCAAACCAGAGGAAATTGTGTACCCAAGTAGTAAAAGTAACAATTTGGGAAGGATTTGAAGCCACTAATTGGAACTTCTTTAACAGTTTTGGTCCATTCATTCATTTATTCATTCATTCAAGAACTATTCTTGAGCATTAGGAACTGACATTTACTTAGAGCATTATTCACCTTGATGTGCTAATCATCTGAGTTACTGAAAGTGGGTATACTAAGCTCCTTACAGAGAGGTTCCTTGGGTTTATAAAATATGAAACTTGATCTGAGACAAGGGCACCGTGAGAAAACGGCTCATGGAATTCTGAGCTTTTGCGATCTCTTTCACTGCATTCATACAGTGCTACATGTATCCCCAACTATATCTATAGACTTAGTGGAGAATAAGGGTGCTTAGCTAAGTAACCCAGACTTAACTTTTCAAGATAACATTCTTAAATAAATTTAAGATACTTATATATGTCTTATGTATCTTACATGTATTTATATATTTTATATACACCCATATATGTGTATGTACATAAATATATATGCATATTGTCTTCTGTGGTGAAAATGAGTATAGATCAGACATTACTCTTAAAAGTTTGGTTCCTATTATATTCTTGGCATAACAGAACCCAGTTGTGCCACAGAATGTGGAATGTGGAAGCCTAGGCCTTCTCCTAGGTGTAAGAGAAGCATAAAGTTTATTGTGTTTAATGCTATATGAAGTGCAGCATTTCTTCTGTTTCATTCTAACCTCAATATGATCTATATAAGCAGAAGGAGCTACAGGCTCACTATTTAGGTCAGGTCTAAAGAAGAATAGTTCAAACTGATCCATATTTAGTGGTCCCTGAGCAATGCAGTGGTTACCCAAAGAGGGACTCCCTGGGACTTGCAATTGCCACATTATGCAGCTGCGATGTGGATGGCAAGAGAAAGTGAAAGATATTTTAACAGCCACTCTTAAGTCTTTTATGGAAGGCTCATGCCAATTAAGAAGCTCTTTGCATTAGTTTGTCTCTAAGTAACACTGCACAATTCAATTTGAAAGTTCACATAGACCTAACTCAAACCCTTACACGGCTGGAACAGTAATTATAATCCTGGCAGGTCACACAGTTTATTTTTCATTGGGAGCCCAGAACACCCACACGAGGACAGAAATTCAAGGCTCTGCAGTCAGTTCCGTCATCCGTCTAGGGCAGCAAGCCTACCAAGCATCCCTGCAGGGTCAAAAGGGCAACAGAATTTCAGGGCCGAGTATCAATAACCAGGCTTGGGTCCCTCACTCCCCAAGCCACAGGCCCGCAGAGGGTGAGCGTTAGGGGAAGGGGGCAGCAAGAATGGGCGGGTGGGGATCGGCTCCTCTTTAAGAGGGACCTCTAGGCTCCAAGTAGCTGCGTTGATCTGGGGCCGGTTACTTAGTTTTTAAGCCTCATTCCCTTGTTTCCTAACTATTGGGAACTTATAGTGTCTTCCTCAAAAGACTGTTGTGAGCATCTAATGGGAAAATGAGGGTAAACGTCTTGGCTAAGACCCTGGCCTGTGGTAAGTCCTTAATAAATAGCAGCAGAATTCTTTTTGTGGCTCTTATCATTGTCATTATTGCGCTGTATTGTCTTTGCAGTCACCGCCACCACGACCATCCCCGCCCTCCGCACTTCTCCAGCCGGTTCCTCACCTCCCAGCCGGGCGGCTCCCGGCCTGGGTGGCTCATTCATTCCCTGGAGGGCCCGCTGGGCAACACTTGCCTCTAGGATGACCGCTTCTCAGAAGGCAGGAAAGCCCCTCTGGAAGCCCTTCTCTCTTTCTTTCCCTCCTCCCTCTCCATCTCCCCGCCTTCCTATCAAGCACTATCTCTTTCCCGAGTTCAAAAAGTGAGAGGACTCGCACCGCAGGACTCAGCCCGGCTCCGAGCGCCCCCGCACCCCCAGCCCCTTCGTCCTCCCTCTCGGGCGCCTTCCCTGCCCGCCACTGCCCCCTGGCGGACGAGGCCGAGAGCGCCCTGGCTCCGGGGTTCAAGGGCTCTCCCGGTCCCCCGCGGATCCCGCCCTAAGCTGGGCCCCTTGCCAGCCCCACGCAAGCTCGCTCGCCCGGCCCGCTCCCTCCTTCTGCTCGCTGCCCCGCCACTTCTTCTTCTGCCTGCCACCCCGAGGGACCATGGCGAGGTTCAGCTGGGGATATGGTGAGCACAATGGTGAGCGCCTTCCGCGGATGGGAGGGGTGAGGGAGGGGGCTCTGCGCCGGGGGCGCCCGAGGGGGACCGCCCGCTTCCCGGAGTCTGCCAACCGCACTTTGCCAATCCACACTTGGCTAGAAACTTTTCGGTTTGTCTTTTGAATGAGCAGCGCTCCCCGGAGCCACACGCAGGAAGCGGAGGGAAGGCTTAGTCCTGCGTGGATAGGGAAAGCGTCTCGGAGGCTGTTGATAGTGGGGGTGAGTTGGCGTGCGTTAGCCCTGTCACGATACCCCAGACCCCGAAATCTTCAGATATGTCCCCTTGCTTTCATTTGAAAAGCCGAAAATTTTCTCTAGTAGTAACTACTTATCAATCAAAGGCACCGAGTTTAGAAATCTGAGGACATATTTCAATGAATTGAGGACAAGTTTGCTTTCAGTCTTCTAAGCTCATTATCTCTACGGGGAAACAAATCATGGAAAATATTTGAAAATATACTTAAGAAATTTTAATGACTTGAATTGCAGCATTGAAGATTTATGTTGCCTTCTTGTCAACCAATGTACCGCAACTTTCTTAATAGCTCTTAGCTATAAAATATTCCCACAGCAACTTGCAGTTGGTTGACTGGTACTGCTGGTTTTAGCAAGATTTTAGGTTCTTTCTTAGAAATGAAGTTATATTTTAAGCTACGTCTGCATGCTTTCTCCTCCTACACATCCTTTCAGAGACTGAGGAATTAGCAAAGGATCATTGACATTGTAACACGTTGGTAAAAATGTGTTTATTGATGGAACCAACAGGAATAATAAGATGTATACTTTTCTTCTTGTATATCCTAAATTATCAAAAGTAAACCATTTTTCTTGTTTTTATATTAAACTGAACTGATGATTTTCAAATAACCATTACTTGAAATGTTTGCAAAGTGACACCACAAAAGCCTTACAGCGAATCACTGTCAAAATTAGGTCTGAGAATAATGATAGTAATAATAATAATACTTTCTTGGATTAACATGCATATTATTCAGCAGTACTGTATAGTTAATTTTATAGAAAGCTTACTTTCACAAAGAAACAGAAAAGTTTCATTTCTAACTGTAGCCTTTTTGAGGCTATGACTAACTTGCCAGTTAAAAAATGGCAGCAGGTGAAAGAGTTTTAATAATGAAAGGTATAATTTAGGTGGATTTCTCTTTGAGACTACAATTATAATCTTACATTTTGCTAATTTTCAATTTATGTTTGGGGAAAAAACCTACAAAACAAATTTCTTTTAATTTCCCTCTCTGCTGGAATAATTTCTGTTATTGTTATTTAATAGTCACTGGGTGTTAACAGTGCCCTCACTATGATTAGGAAGGAGAAGCGTATTTTCAGTCAATGAGTATTGATTACTCTTTAATATGTTCGAAAATATTGGCTCCAATGAAGTGCATCTGAAATTTTAAAAATCCATCTTAGAAATATGTGAGGGAGGTTAAGAGGTACAAACTTCCAGTTACAAAATAAATGAATCACGAGGATGAAATGTACAGTGTGGGGAATAAAGTTATGTAAACTTTTTACCTAAAGTAAAAAGTTATGTAATGTCTTTGTATGGTGACAGATGGTAAGTAGACTTATCATGGTGATCATTTTGAAGTGTATAAAAATATTGAATCACTGTGTTGTGCACTAGGTACTAACATAGGTAAATTATGCTTCAAAAACAAACAAACAAACCTAGAGAAGAAGAGTTCAGGTTTATGATTACCAGAGTGGGTGGGAAGGGGGAATTGGATGAAAGTGGTCAAAAGGTACACACTTCCAGTTATAAAATAAATAAGTACTAGGGATTTAATGCACAACATGCTACATATAATAAACACGGCTGTAGGTTATATATAAAAGTTGTCAAGAGAGTTAATCCTGAGAGTTCTCATCACAAGGAAAAAATATTTTTTCTATTTCTTTAATTTTGTATCTATATGAGATGATTGATGTTCACTAAACTTATTGTGGTAATCATATCATGGGGTATGTAAGTCACATCATTATGCTGTACACCTTAAATTTAGATAGTGCTGTATGTCAATTATATCTCAATAAAATTGGAGAAAACTGAAGAAAAAAATGAAAATTTGAAAACGTAAAAAAAAAATTCATCTTAGAAAAGCCATTAACAAGGAGTGATTTCGTATTTCGGCTAAGAATTGTAGGACCATTCCCTGCTTTTAGATTCAATAGCTTTCTGAGGACCACACCTTTAAGTAGATCAACTTTGGCAAAATCCTATTGGAAATGTGTTGTATCCTGACTGGGCAAGTTTTGTTGCTTGCCAGTTTAGACTGGCAAGAGCAGTGAATGAGCAGACAAAAGGAAACTTTAGCTGGGAATAGTAGCAGTGATAAAATGGAACATCAAGAAGTGAGGCATTGGAAGTGGTTACCACCTTCACAAACAGCTTACAACTTCTTCCACAAACCTTTGACAGTTTTATTAGTTTAGTTTAGGTAATGTGACAATCACTGAAAACTACCTATCTCTATGGATATTCAGAAAGTTCCTGAATCAATGGAAGAACTTCTGTATATCTCTATAACTATGTTTAAATGGGTTTAATGTTGCACGTAAAAGGCAAGGGAAATGAACCTACCATCATGGTTAATAGATAATATTGACTAATGCAAAGTGCTATTATTTTTATCTTATTTTGGCTTGCCTCTGCTTTTAAAAATAGTTCTGGTTATAAAGGACTGGAAATAGGAGCATAAAGGAATTAAGAGGAGAAAGATGCTCTTTCCTGATTGGAAAAAAGTTAATATATTATAACATACGTGTTGCATACTTGAAATCCGATTCTCATTAGGTTAACTCATACTTGTGGGTAGTGAAATAGAACATTTTTTCACATGAAAAAAGGACAAGATTGTATACAAAAAGAGTGTTAGAAAGGTAAATGAAAGTACTTAGTAAATAAGGAAATGCAATGCCTTTTCTGTAATAAGATGTAACGAAGGACTTTTGATGTTCAAGTTGCTTTCAAGTCCAAAGTGTATGATTCATAAGAGAACAATTTCTAAGTTATGTCTGTGGTTATGTATTCATGCTATGACTTTTTTGTACATGAAGCATATGTAAAGGAAAGAATTTATGCTTTCTCTTTTGCAAAGAAGAGTAATAACAAGCGTTAGATTTAGAAGCTGTTGATAATTGTGATATATTTGCATTTCTTGAAATTTCATTCTAAATCTTATCTTTAAAAAATATTTGTTGTTGTTAGTAACAAATGCTTAATTCATTGTCATGCTGTGTCGTTTTAGTTAGTACTTGATTTTTAGAGAAATCAAGTTAGTTGGTTAGTGGAGTAGGGAAAAGCTTAGTCAGCAGCCATGCTCTACAGACCTGGTGGAGGCGGTGTAAATTACAGGCAGAGTAGAGGAGGAAATAAGAACCTCTAACCTGTAAAGTCTGTAGACGGGCTTGGAGCTTACTGGAAGCTGCAACCTTGCTGTTGATTTTGAGAGGCAGAACTTGCGTGAATCTCCCAGAGAAGTGAGAGTAGACAAGGGAATTGTCAGTTTATTGCTTCACCTCAATTTATCAAACATGTGTTCGATTCGGGAACTTGATGCGATTTTGAATTTGTGAATGAGGACCAGGATGCCAGTTGTACCTTGTATTGGAATTCAAATGTAGTATTGGCAAAACAACCCTGGAAGGACCTTCCGAAATACAGAAAGAGAGAAATAAATTGTTGCCTGACTCTACTGCAGAAAACCAACAATATTACATTTCCTGACATGGTGCAGTCATTTTATATGTGAAAAATTTACATATTTCCTTAGTTTGCCTGTTGCACATTCACAGGAAATTTAGCTGAGAACTGGGTGACATGTGAAGATACAGTGAGTGATAGAAGTGAGGAGAGCATTTTAAAGAACTACACCCTTTTTTGCTATGCAGCTTTCTCAGCTCCGTTAGTTCTTTCAGCCCATAAACCTGACCTGTGGAACTATCACATCTCATTCTTGGAGCTGAGACTGAATCCCATTGTTTTCAATGATGAATTGTAGTGTTGTTTTTAGTTCAGTAGAAGGCATTTGTGAAGTACTTTATAAAACTTACATGCTCTTTTGTCTACAAGGGTGAGTTTAATTCTGAAGATGAATTAAGGCAAACCAGGAAGTTTCCATACCTATAATAAAAGCAGTTGGTCTTGTAAAACAAAACAAAACAAAACAAAACAAAACAATTAGATGTTAAAGTGCTGAGGGTAAAGATCGTATTTTATTAATCTTTGTATTTTCTTCAATGTCAAGTACAGTGCATTGCACTCAACAAGTATTTGTTGAATTAAATAACTTATTCAGTCCTTTTCTTTTGGTCCTATATGTTAAAGGTCCTATTCATTGGAATGAATTTTTCCCTGTTGCTGATGGAGATCAACAATCTCCAATTGAGATTAAAACCAAAGAAGTGAAGTATGATTCTTCCCTCCGACCTCTTAGTATCAAGTATGACACAAGCTCAGCTAAAATCATCAGTAATAGTGGCCATTCCTTCAATGTTGACTTTGATGACACAGAGGACAAATCAGGTTGGCTTTTCTTTTTTTTCTTGGTTGGGGTGAGGAGCTTGGTTGATTGGATGACACATTCTTATCTTTCATATTTGAACTACCTATGCACTGTGTGTTCCTTATTAGTACTTTGCTAGAACTTATAGTAAAAGTTTTGTTTGATTAGTTCACGGAATAATGTCTTTCACACGGTGAATAAATAATAGACCAACCAAAAAAAAAACTAGTTTATTTGTTTATTTAAAAACTGAGTGAAGTAGAAAAGAGCATTTCCTTTTAAAATGAACATTTAATCCTTATTCAAGTATACCTCCTGCCCAAAGAATAGATGATACCAAGTTTAAAAGTAAGATTAAAGAGAAGATCAGAGAGAATCATATTTTGGAACATTTTTGAAGGCTTCCGACAAATTATTTTTATTTTAAGTCTAATATTAGGATAATGCTGTATTTACTCTATTAATGAAAAATAAATTTTAAAAATCCTTAATTGGAAGAAAGTCTTCACTTATTCATTAAGCTTAGATTTAGTTTAGTAATAATATCTTGTGTTTATGTAGTGCTACATTGTTAGCAAAAATTATAAGCCCATTACATTTCTTCCTCATATTTGTTAAATTCATAAAAGTGATTCACTTTCATCAGAGCAATTTAAAAAATGCATAAGGAAAGATTAACACATGGTACTTTTCAACTTTTGGTTGGGTGGGTAAGTAACCTCACTTTTTACATATATTAAATTGTCTTTCCTTCAGGCCCTCAGTTTTATAAATCTGTATTAATAGATATGGTTGATGTGATAGTACATTATAAAAGTAGTCCGAGGTTTCTGAGTACAAAGTCCATACCACCCATAATGGTAGTTTGATACTGTTTATGATCTCTCAAACAAAAAACTGAGGCTATCCATTCCTACTTTTAGAATAAGAAATGATTAGATTGTACTTCATCTAAAACTTTCTCATAAAAAACCTTAGTCATAAAAAATTCTTACTTTAATTTGCTCAGTGATGATCCTGGTCTTCTCTCTCTCTCTCTCCCTCTCTTTCCCTCTCTCTTCCTCTCATTTTCCCTCTACTTTGGGTTAATCAGTGGAATTAGTTTGTCTGTGTTTCCAGATTTGACGCTGCGTCCGTAATGGGTAGTGTGTGCCCTCTCCCATAAGCAAAGGTCTCATTTCTATCTAGATCACAATGAAATTACCAGGCTTAATTGAAAATATCCATAAAGTACTTAGTATTCCTCTGAGACAGAAGCTACATATATATATAGGTCATGATTCTCGTTCTTCTGTCTCAAGATAAATGAAGAGAATGTTTCATGGTAATTTGGGGGATTAAATTAATTAAAACATAGAAACCGCCATGGCTAAAATAAATTGTTGCTGGTTTTTCTTTTTCTTTGGTACAAACTATAAAAAACACAAAGATACTTCTGTAACAAGCCATTTTAACTTGAGTAAAACAGTCTCCATTTTATAAAGAAGCCATTCTTACCAAGGTTAACTCTCAATCCCACCAGTCAAGAGACCACAGGTGTGAAACCTTCCTCATGGTCCTGGCAGGGCTTCTTTGGCTGCACAGCTGCACAACCAGTGATTAACCTGTGGGGAGCCACTCTTCAGAATTTTAATAGTCCTTTAAAAAGCGACAGGTAGATGTGAAATTCACACAGGAAGAAATTCATTAGAGACAACTCCTATTGGCTGTAGCAGACAAGGGTGTTCTCCCCCTAGCTTCTGGTTTTTCGGAACACAGACAAGGTCCCCCCTCTCCAGGAATCACACCTGACTGGCCGCATCACCCCTCCTGTGGCATCCCAGGCCTGTCCTCTTACAGAACTTCCCACATTGCATTGTGACTGCCAGTTGGTTCTTTCCACTCAGCTAAAGTCTCCCTGTGAGCAACAGCTGTGTCTTACTCATTTACCTAACCTGGTGCCTGGCACACAGAGGGTACTCAATAAACGTATGTTTCAGTTAAAAGCATTTTTTTGATATGATGTTTCTTGGAGGATATGGACAACACCATGGTATGGCATTAGGGTACAGAATGCATTAGTATATGTAGGTGAAGTCCCGATAGAATTACAAACCACCAGAAATCAATTAATATTTACCATTTGACACCTAAATAGTTTGAACATTGGTGGATTATTCATTGTTTGAACATTTAATTTTTAAAGGCTGTGGTACTAATTTTTAAGTTTTAATAAATGAAATAGTTCATGGCATATAGTAAATACTCAATAACTACTAATAACTAGTAATAAAAATAATAATAAATAATAATGGTCTGTGTCCCTTCTGTGGATAAGATATGTTGGGCTGAAATTTTAAAAAGATGTCAAAAGGAAGGAAGCTGCTTTCTTGCTAAGAAAGGCCTACTAGGAATGCTAGTAACTTGATGGATTCAGTGACTGTTCTTTAATTTTCATCTCTAAAAATTGTCAATTTCTCAGTTATTGTCCTGTTATCTAGTTCTAGGTAACTGCCTGAAGTTAACCAAATGTACGAGATCTTAAATTATATATTAGAAAAGAAAAAAAACAGAAAAAGATGGGGGGTAAGCAAACCTTAGTTGTGTGATCCACGCCGTCCCCCCGCCCCGAGCCAAGATATACAGGAAACTAAATTGGCAATCTGTGACAATGATGTATTATAAAACTTTATTATAATTATGTTTCCTTCTGTAAGTTTCTTGAGGATAGAGATGGCCTTGCTCATTGTGTATTTAGTATTGAACACAGTTGCTGGCCCATTATAAGCTCTTAAGAATTGTTGAATGAATGAGTGATCAGAGAGTAACTTGGTGTGCACATGCTCAGAGCAAAGGAAGCCAGAAGCCAGACTAATGAAGACTGTCCTGGCTCTGAAAAGAATTCAAGCCCCAGTAGCTAGGACCATTCCTATCTTCGTTCTCTCTTTCAGTCTCTCTCTCACTATAATCCTGGCAGATCTGTGCTCTTCGTTTGTTCTTTTCCTAGATTCCAAGCAAAATATAGATGTGCTGTTCATTTAGTTTTACTTCAGAGAACTGTTTACCATACAGTGATCAGTCCATGACTTTTATTAGATTCACAAGTCCTAAGACTATGCTCTTTAGTGATGCTCAGGTCACTTCAGTAGCATCCTTACAAACTGAAGTTTGTGAGGGAGTGTTTCTACAGGTGAGGTCTCTTTCTTACTTTATGTTAGTAACATTTATTGATCTGGGCACTGTCCCAGGCATTGGGTATACAAGAGAATGAGATCAATTCTGTCTTAAAGGAGTTTTTATCCTAGTGAGATAGACAATAAATGCGTGAACAGACAAGTGTTTTGCTTTCTAAATGAATTTTTTTCTGATTTTGTTTTGCCAGCCTTGCTTATCATTTTAGGCAGCTGACGACAGTGTAGTTTCAGAAAGTGAGTAGAGTAAGCAAATTACTAACAATTAAAAAAAAAGTTAAGTTCAATAGAGTAATGCATATGTTCCTAGTTGGTCTTTGCAGCATATAGCAAATGACAGATATCCTTTTACTAAGTTATTAAAATTTTCTCAGACTTTAAAATTAACTCTGGTTTCTTGATCTCTGTAGATCTCTTATATGAAAGTTTTATTTGGAATAGACTTTTTAAGAAATCTTAATGGAGGGATACATGATATTATATATCTTGATCTCTGTAGATCTCTTATATGAAAGTTTTATTTGGAATAGACTTTTTAAGAAATCTTAATGGAGGGATACATGAAGTATTATATATATATATATATATATATATATATATATATATGCTAAGTGTGATTTTGGAGAAATAATTACTAGTTTTCAAACATAAGATGGAAACAATATATATTTATTCATCTAGGTTGGAAAGTAAGATGAATAATTTGACTCTTTAAAACACTAAATCATCCTCATTAAAAAATAATTTTTGTCACCATTATTCATTTTATATCATAGTTTAGCTGTTTAGTTGTTTTATTATAGACCATCTCAACATTGGCGATTAACCTTGGTATTTTGACTCATTTTTTTCCCACTCTGTGTTTCTTTGGTAGAGCACTGCTCCAGGAGAATGGTCTTCATGATTAGACATTTGATCATAGTTCCAAGTTGGATATTTTAGTTAAAACACTCAAAGTCCAGATATGTAAAGAGTAAGGCAATCTCTGTTGCTTAACTAAGCAGAGCTGTGCTAATTTGGCTTTAAACCCTGGATTCAGAGCAGGCTTTCCAGAGATCAACCAGTACTCTTGGATGTTTCCCTAATAATGTGTGTGTTTTTTGGTATCACTTTCTTTCTCCTGAGCCAGCTTGTTTGCATCTTCTCCCAAAGTCAATTCCACATTGATCACTCAAGCTCTCTAAGCTGTTTTTTATCTGTGAAGGAATGACTTCATGGTTCAGCTCAGGTCTTATTATGCAATAGCAAGGGAAAAAGAGACACTAGAGCTGTTGATTTCTTTTTGTTTGGAATGCCACTGCATCCATGCTATATGGAGTCAGGGAAATGAGCCTTTTAAATTAATTTATCTGTGAATCATCTTTGAAACTCTTTGTTTAAATACAAATCAAATATTTTATTCATTCCTTCATCAAATATTTATTGTGCATCTCCTCTGTGATGGTTACTGTGCTAGGTGATGGGATGGGTACAACAGAGACCCGAGCAGATGGTCTCTGCCCTCGTGAACATTGTTCCGTGGGAGAAGAAACAGTACAATTTTCTGTTTGTGACAGAGGAACAGAAGAGCAAGCCCTAGAGTCTGGTGTAAGTGGTTCTCCCTTCTCTTTTATTTTTCAGAGGGCTCTGAACATAGCTATCTTTATTTATTGTAAAGAAATCTGGATGCAAATGAATCTAAAGGAAGCCCCAACCATTCAACCTTACAAAAGATTTTATCATACACTCTCCCATTTTTTTTTCCTTAGGCAGTTTCGGGAATTGTAGAAATTAAAGAACACCCAGTCCAATCTCCTAATTAAACAAACAATCACAAATATAGACAAGAAAGCTGAAGCCCATAGAGGCTTAAATGAGTTTTGAAAGGTGGCATAGTTTAGTAGCCAAGCTGGGACTATTCCCATGTCTGCTGATTCCAACTACTATACCAACTCTTAATTAGTGATGTTCAACTTCAGCCAAGTCAAACCAAGTAAGGGAGAAATGAGTTCAGTTGTACTGGTCAATACAGATGGCAGTCTGGATCATTCTCTCTCCTACAGTATAGCTCAAAGAGGAGTGTGCCTTAGTCAAATGTATTATCTTGTCTTTTTTGTTGTTGTTGTTTGTAGAAAACTGCGTGCGATACCTCTTAACATCTTTTGCTTCTTATATAATGTGCATCATTCTTGACAAATTTTGAGGTTATATATATATATATATATATATATATATATATATATATATATCTTCTGAAGAGGAGGGTAATTTAAATCAAACTATTGTTTAAGGCTGCACCATACCAATCCAACACTTAATCCTGTTGGAATGTCAATGAGAGATTAGCAGTGCTTTTGATGTAATCAGCATGCAATGCTTCCATATCTTCCCATATCCTTTAAAACATGCTCAATAAAGATTAATTGGGAGGAGACAGTTTAGGACTATGTTTTCTACTAAAAAGCTTTTCTGTATACTTAATATATGATTCTATTGCCACGGTTTTAGAGATCATATGTGTTGAGGCAAAGTACTAAAATATACTCTGCCAAAGTGACAAAGATATGATGGATTATTTTAAAAGAGTTAATTTTGTCCTGTATTTCATGTTTCCCCAAGAAGATAGAATTCAAGTATAAAAGACATGCTTACTTTGCCAGTTTTTGTAGTAATCATAACAGCAATAAAATAGTAATAATAGCTAATGTGTCCAGCATGCTGACTTTCTGCCACGCAGTGATAAGTACTTTGTGTTCAATTTTTCTTCTGTTTTTACAACAGCATCAGGAGGAGGTAACATTACTCTCTAGAGGTTATAGACAGGAGAGCTGAGGTTTCAAAGTTAAAGGATTTGTGCAAGATGACACAGTTAGTAAATAGGGCGTGAGCCCCAGGACCCCTAACGCTGAAGCCTGTTCTCTTACCGTATTCCTAGGCTGTTCTACCGTGTTCAAGATGGAGCTCTTAGCACATCACATTTTTATTTAGAGAGGCTGACATTCTCCATTAAACAGAGCAATTCTTTACCTCTACAAACTCCCAGTTTCTGCTACTTTTAACCAGTGTATCTCTTTTGATTTACAAGATATTCCATAAAAACCTGTATTGTGGACTCTTTAACCTTTTAAAATGTTTGTTTTTACTCTTCATATATTTAAAAGTTGTATTCCTGTCAGCCATCTGAATGACATTTATAAAAAATTCTTTGAAGGACATGGAGATGTTGAGTGATCCAGGGAGATGCTGTGGGTTGTGACAGGATGTGTAATTTTTTTTTTTCTTGCTGACAATTTAAAATGTATTGATGTTTAGTTCTGCGTGGGGGTCCTCTCACCGGAAGCTACAGGTTACGACAGTTTCACCTTCACTGGGGGTCCACCGATGATCACGGCTCTGAACACGTGGTGGACGGCGTGAGATATGCCGCAGAGGTGAGCCATCAGACTTGTATTCATCACTCAGAGTTTTTCTATGTGATGGGATTTTGGGGACACAGAAGACAACTCTCCTTATGCCAGATTAGGTATCTCAGTGACTGAAATCACTTTATTCTGTCAGCATGAGAGTTTATCAACATGAGAGCCACACGTTTGGCCCTTCTGAGTCTTAGAGATTAGGGTTTTTGTGCCATTTTAGAAATGAATAAAGACTTAGAGAGACTAAGTAACTTATCCAGCTAGGAAGCAGTTGAGATGGCTTGAAACCCAGGTCTGTCCAATACCAATTATAAACTCTGTTGTATTTCTTGAAAAGCCAGTGAGAAGGGAGAGAAAGAAACATTTGGTTTAGGCCCAACTGTGTACACATTTGGTCCAGACACAAATATATACTAAGATCACGTAAAGTCCATGTAATAGAGTTAATAGTAAGTGGCCAAGTTCCTCTTAGGGAAAAAAAGTAAAGTCACAAACTCTCCTAAACTCTACATTACCTCTACAACCCCAGGTATTAAAATGGAGTCTCTGTTAATTATTCAGGTCGTTGGTAAAGTGTTCATTGACTTGTTTTTTTTTCCATTGGGGAGTGAACTTCTTTTCCTTATAATCATATTCATTAATAATATTCTACTTTTTCTAATCCTCTGGTTAAAGGACAAAGCATAATATACTTCAAGCTTTAAAACTGTTAAATATTGGGCTTCCCTGGTGGCGCAGTGGTTGAGAGTCCGCCTGCCGATGCAGGGGATATGGGTTGGTGCCCTGGTCCGGGAAGATCCCACATGCCGCGGAGCAGCTGGGCCCATGAGCCATGGCCGCTGAGCCTGCGCGTCTGGAGCCTGTGCTCCGCAACGGGAGAGGCCACAACAGTGAGAGGCCCGCGTACTGCCAATAAAAAAAAAAAAAAAAAAAAAAAAAGTTAAATATTGCTAACACCCAGCTTTACCATGAGATGAAAGTGAATTATTGTTTGACTCAACCAAAGCTACTTATGTGAAAATATATAATGTGGCTTGTGAGTCGCCTAGTAGGCAAGACAGAGCAAATGTTACCAGGCAAGTACAGTTTTTCTTCATTTTTCTTGTGATTACTGACCTGTGGAGTTGAGACACTCTTTTATAGCCCTGCTGTTCAGAGAGATTCAGCAAATAGACTTCTTTCCAGTTTTATTTTTCTGTTGACTTATACATCTGCTGTCTGACACTATCAACCAAAACGTCCTTTTTGCCTACTAAAACACTTTTGCTTGAGGCCAAGTGCTTAGGGTATGGGACCTGCTCTTCCCTTCGGGTGGAGGAATAAAATCTACATCCAAAGTGGACAAAAGATGCCAAGAATGTACAAAGCAGAACTCCTGAATCTGTACAGTGTCTCAGTTTATATCACCTACTGAATAGTTTTCATGTTTGCTTTCTAAAGTTTTGTGTTCTAAATTTGACATGTTCTAACTTTCAAAAGCTTTGTGCAGATTAAGAGCTGGCTTTGGATCACTGAACTGTAATTTTCCTAAGCCGCTTAGGAAAACTGGTCACATTGCTTTATGTTTACACCTTCTAACTTCATAAACTTCAAAGTATACTCTCAGAGAGGTTGACTCTGAGTTGGCAAGTGGTTTCCTGGAAAGGGCCCTCATATATTCTGAAATTAGTCAGAGGCTCAGAGTCCTTACTTGCAGAGCAAGGGCCATCTTTGTAGGTTTTCCTTCTTGAAGAAGATGAAGCTTTGACTGGAATTTCACACTGTTCTTTAATGTATGTTTAAGGCTATTTATTTCATTTGTTCATGCATGCATGCATTCATTCATTCTTTTAAGAATTCATTGAGATCCTAGCATGTCCCCCATCTTGGCCCAATTTACTCGTGCTCATCCTAAAGGGAGTGCTGGGAAGGAGAAGGGATGGGTCAGGAAGCACTTCCTCATGGAAAAGTCTTTACCCAAACCTGAAGCAGGAGCAGGAGTGAGCCAGGCAAAGGGGAGAGCGCCTGCATAGACTCATGTGTGAGTACTGGGGCTGGGGAAGAGTATAACATATTCTAACATATTTGAAGAACAGAATGACCAGTGTGATTAGAGCACGAAGTAGAAAAGGGAGAGTTGTTAGAGGTAAAGTTGGGAGGCTAGAGGCATCTCATCTTACTAAGGTAAGTCATGTGAGTGTTGCAAACTTTATTCTAAGTGTAACAAGAAGCCACTGATTGGCTTTGAATCAGGAAGTGATCATATACGTGTTTTAAAAATATCATTCAAACTATAGTTTGAGAATAAATTGGGTTGAAGCAGGAGTGGATAAAGGGAACCAGTCAGGAGGCTTTCGGGAATGTTCCAGGTAATAGGACATAGTGCAGCTGGAGGGCTGGCTGGCTAGAAGTGCCACTTTAGTGGGGTGATTGGTGATTACTTGGGGTTGAGGGTGAGGGAGGGAAGGAGTCAGTGTTTCTGGCTTGAGATAGGAATGTAACTGGAAGAAGAGGAAGTCTGGGTCAGACCTCAGGGTTGGTGGGTGTTCAAGGTCGACAATAAACAAATAAATAAATTGGATGTGGTAAGTTCTTTGATAGGAACAATACCACATGATCTGGTAGAGTAACTGGGTGCTTAAGAAAGGCCTCTTTGAGATGATCAGTGAATTGAGACTGAATGACCAGAAGAAGCCACTCTGAAGAAATCTAGGGAGATCTTTCTGATAAGTGGGAACAGCAGGTCCAGGTGCTCTCAGGCAGAAATGAGGTTGGCATGTTCTAGAAGGCAAAGACATTGGCTTCCAGGATTGGAGTTAATGAGAGAGGAGAAATTATTAGCCATGTTCCAGAGAGGCCTGCAGGGGCCATACCACGTTGGGCTTTGGGGGGCTTGGTGAGCAGTTCGGAGTTTATCTTCATGTAGCAGGACAAAGACAATGGAGGGTTTCGAGCAGGGCAATGGCATGTTCTGCTTTATATTTTATAAAATATAGCTAGCTGCTCCATGGCTAAGAGTTTGGGCAAACATTGAAGAAGCAGGGAGACAAACTAGAAGGCTATGAACGTGTTCACATGAATGATGATGGTGATTTGTACTATGGGGTGGTGGAGATGAAGAGAGCTAGACGAATCCATATGTTTGGGGGGTAAAATCCATGGGACTTGCCAAGGAGAAGGATGTCAAGATTGAAGGAAGGAAAAAGAGGAATCTAGAAGCACTCTTAAGATTTTGGCTTGCGCAACCATGAGAATGGCTGTGCTATTTGCTGAGATGGGAAAGTCCAGGGAGGAGCAGGCTGCAGACAGGAATGAACTGTCTGTTTGGACATGTTAAGTTGGAGAGACAACTATAGATATTCTAGTCTCGTGTTCAAATAGGCTACTGGATACAAACCTGGAGTTTAAAGAAGAGGTCAGGGTGGGAGATGGAGGTATTTGGGAGTCATTTGCTTTGGGTTTCAGATTCAAAAGGATCCCTTTGTGCTTGGCTATCATAAGTGATTCCTAGGGGTTGTTTAGTTTTTCCAGCTACTTTCGTACCGAACTTCAGGACTATCATCAAGTTGTGTCCTCTTAAAAAATAAAAATATGGGGCTTCCCTGGTGGCGCAGTGGTTGAGAGTCCGCCTGCCAATGCGGAGGACACGGGTTCGTGCCCCTGTCTGGGAAGATCCCACATGCCGCGGAGCGGCTGGGCCCGTGAGCCATGGCCACTGAGCCTGCGGGTCCGGAGCCTGTGT